CAAATTTGCCAATCTTCATATCTGACTCATGGAAGCCAGAAAGAAATAGTTCTGTGACCGTACCCACATAAACAAGACCAGCGCGACTCAACTTGTACATTTACTGATCAAATATATATAAGCAACTCTTTTCAGCCCTCAGTTTAATATTGAATAGAGGTCAGAATAAATTATTGTCATTAAATTTCGTGTCTGTCAAAAAGGTCACAGAATGGACTGGAAAACATTCCTTGGATAGACATATAGACTCCTGGTTAAAAATTTTGTAATTATTAATTTTTTACGTCCTGTCAATATAATTTAGGTCAGTTTTGAGGCAACCTGCTTTAACCCTTACAATCAGGTCCAATAATGAGCTAGATAAGATAATCTACAGCATCCCAACAGAAATACCCCGTAATTTAAATAAAACTGAATTGAACTCACGCCTTTTTCGTATGAAGTGAAAAGCATGGCCACTACAACACACACACAAACACACACACACAGACACACACACACACACACACACACACACACACACACACACACACACACACACACACACTCACACACACCCAGATACAATCACACACAAACACATATACACACATACACACATACACACACGCGCGCACACACACACACGTAACCACACACATATCAGTGCAGATAGTTCAGACAACACTGTTTAGATACAAAATCCAGCTCTGCCGACAACTATTCTCTGTGGTAATGAGACTACTTTAAATTAGCTATTTTGTACCCTTTTGAAAAGTTAGTTTGCTCCCCTCCCCTTCGTAAAAGTAAAAGAGTCTTTAGCGCTCGACGTCACGTCGACCCCGTTGTCACGCCAGGGAGGGCGGATACCCCGGATGTGCATACTAATTCACGGAAGTTCAGAATGGTTGGGGGGGGGGGGCAAGATTACCTTTTCCTGGTTAGTTAAGCCAAAACTTTAAGTAAGTATGCCTTATTCGTTTAAATCAAAATGGTTTAGATGCCAAACAATGGTACAGAATTGCAAACAATCAAGTTTGCCTTTACGAGAGGAAAACAATGCAATCTATATGTGTGGAAAAAAACCCATGAAAAATTGATCGGTAAAATTCTATCTCCAGCAGGTCTTTTATATCTATGTCATATCGATGGAGAGGGGCCAGGCATGATTTGTATTACTTTTTTTTGGGAGGGGGAGGGAAGGCAGTGTGGTCTTTATTTAGTAGTTATATCTGTGTCTTGAAATATTATGTACAGTCTTTGGTCTCATCAAATTTGCCAATCTTCATATCTGACTCATGGAAGCCAGAAAGAAATAGTTCTGTGACCGTACCCACATAAACAAGACCAGCGCGACTCAACTTGTACATTTACTGATCAAATATATATAAGCAACTCTTTTCAGCCCTCAGTTTAATATTGAATAGAGGTCAGAATAAATTATTGTCATTAAATTTCGTGTCTGTCAAAAAGGTCACAGAATGGACTGGAAAACATTCCTTGGATAGACATATAGACTCCTGGTTAAAAATTTTGTAATTATTAATTTTTTACGTCCTGTCAATATAATTTAGGTCAGTTTTGAGGCAACCTGCTTTAACCCTTACAATCAGGTCCAATAATGAGCTAGATAAGATAATCTACAGCATCCCAACAGAAATACCCCGTAATTTAAATAAAACTGAATTGAACTCACGCCTTTTTCGTATGAAGTGAAAAGCATGGCCACTACTACACACACACAAACACACACACACACACACACACACACACACACACA